CCGTGTCGGAGAGATGACGTTTGAGGGTGCCGTCAGGTGTCCACAATCCGGATGTCGGGCGAGAACCGGCACCTTTGCCCGAGCCGGTGGAGAAGGCTTTGGAGCCGCGTCGGGATTGTTGGTCGGTAGGCGCGTCAGTGTACTCCTGGTTCAAGGGAGCCTCCTCTTCCTCTGCGCTGACGTTGTGCGGGACGCTTGATGGTCCTGCTGGCGCCGTCGTGATCTCGCCCTCATCGTGCTGTGGGTCGAGGCGCTCACGCTCTCCGAGGGACTGAGCTGTATTCTGGTTGGCTTGCTCCTCTTGTGTGCCAGCTACCTGTTGGTCGACCTGGAGTTGCTGTCCTTGAGCTTGGTCGTCTCCGCGCAGCCGGATGAGCTCCTCTGCATTATCGCGCTTGGCCTGCTCATCTCGCTCACGTAGCTCTTTGATCTTTGGATGCTCTGGAGCCAGGCCAAGGAAAGAAAGAAGGCATGCGACGCCAGGAAACAGAGCCCAGAGACCGAAGATCGTCCGGTTTTCATCGCGAGCTTCTCGGACCACAGCATGCTCGAAGATTGTCTGCAGAGCGAGATACAGGAGATAGCTGTCGTGTTCCGCCACATCGACAGCTGCAGTACTCAGCCCATGAACGTGTTCCAGGGCTACGACATCGGCGAACACGAGCACAAGGACATCTTTTCACTTGTCAGCCTTTCCGGAACTAGCATTATGTTGTCCCTATGACAAGGGCTGAGCTGGACTTACGCTGAACGTTTTAGAAGTACAAGCCCATGAGTGTCCCGTAGAAGGCAGGCTGATGATCTTGTGGGACGACCACGTCGGCTGGCAGAAGGCAGGTGACGATGGTCAACACATTGAGCGCAGTAAGATAAATATGCGGCTGCTGTACTGGCTTCAGGATGTCGCCAACGCGTCGAACTATCGTGTGTGGAGTTTGCGCATGGTCTTCGTGTCGGGCCTCTGGAGGAGTCGTGAAGCTTGTTTCTGATATCCAGTTCATGAGTAACGTAACCCCACAAGAGAATCCTGTCGTTCCGGCCGCAACGGCCACAGAAACGTAAGTTGGGCGATTACCGTTGAGGGACATGCTGCGCTCTGTTAGATAGATGTACAGCGCACAAGAGGCGCGACAAGGGTCGGGGACTTTGTGCAGACGTACCTTGTAAAGAACGCACTAGTCAAGCCATAGAACGGTAGGACGGAGATCGCGTAAATGAAGAGCTTGAGGAGGAACTTGCGTTGTCCATTCGAGGTGATCTGAGGGATGAAACCAGGGTCACGTTCGATCCTCGCGCCTGGCTTTTTCTTGCTCTCTTCCCACTTATGGTTGACGCTCCAACTATTCTCAGATAGAGCGAAAAAGAAAAGACATAAGCAGCCAAGGAGGAAGAAGGTGGCTGGTGGGCCGGTGTTTTCGAGTTGCACGATGGCTTGGTCCATGCCATACGCATCCCATGACACCGGTCCGCATGCCAGAGCGAAAAACGCATTGGATAAGCTTGCTGAAGCCAGCCCTGGAATATTGTGTCGCTTCCGATCTCCAGCTTGTTTGAAACGCTTCCAGAATCCGCTCGGCTTTTTCTCATCCATCGAGTATGCAACGAGAAACACTGGCTTACGATGCTCCAGCCATACTAGACCGACGTCAAGGACAACGAACGCGAAACCGGCTACGGCGAGCCCGAAGAGTACCTGCCATTTCACTTGGACGCTTGTCGGCAGTGAGGCAACAAAGCCGGCAAGAATGCCACCAAACACTCTGCTACACGTGCTCAGGCAGATGCAAGCCAGCTTCCAATAGGCAAGACGGCGAGGTCCGACATAGCCAGCAGGGGCAGGCGGGTCATTGGGCGCAAACGTGACCGCGAGTGTGCCGAAGATCTGGGGGAGAAGGAACGATTCGCCTAGCGCAGTCACAACACGCGCGGCCATTAGTCGAGCGTAGCTGCGGAGGAGGATTAGCTGGAGCTGGTTGAGGATAACCCGAACTCCTGAAGAAGAGCCCGCAAGATGCAGAAGGTGTAGGGGCATAGGAACAATGATATCTGCATACCTTTGGCTTTCATAAAACGCGAAAAGACCCGTGCCGACTGCGGCGAGAGCTGTACCGCAGATTGTGAACGCCGGCACGCCGACGGCATCACCCATATAACCGCTCGGAAGGAAGAGGAGGCCATAGATGACATTGGCAATATTAAGGAGCCAGAACCGTTCTGTGCCAGACATGGACACGGCAGTCGAATTCGCGGTCCGCAACTGGCTTTGAACAAGGGAGGCTGAGAGGAGGGAGTTGAACTGCCAGAGGCAGACGGCAAGCCCAAGAATCAGGCGCCGGAACCCGGGAGAAGAAAACATTGTGGTGTGTTGTAGAGTCAATCACAGGTTAAATTGAGTTTGAGCGGAAATCGGGAAGTAGAGGTTTGCAGTTGCCTGGCAAATTGTTTTTTCGAGCTTAACACTGTGTAACGTAGTTAACACTTGAATGATACAAACACGTAAATGGCGACGACGATGCACGTTCCCCATATTCAGACCGGCGATCGGTTATTCGCGGTAGCAAAGACATAACAGATACTGAACAAGAACATAAGAGCATGATCGGTGAAAAACAGGCACTTCCAGATTCGCACCATGTACTTCTGCACAGCCAAGGCTCGAGATCAGAAACCGTGGCGGAATGGGAAGTAGCAGCGGCCTGGGAGCTTCCATGATGCTGTCCGCTGAGCTCTCATGACGATGTCCCATATCATCAGGAGCCGTCTAGGGGTATAGCCTGGCAGCGTCAACCATATCATTTGAGCTACAGTTAACTCATGAGACTCCAACGTTGAATACAAGTTCGTCCTCAAGCGCAACAACCTCACTGGAATACTCAAAATAGCTCTTCGTGGCGCAGAGGAGATCCGTGCTGCCATTCCTGAAGAAGGCTTTCACACGCGTGGTCTCATAGCCCCGAACTCGAAGCATGTGGATAACACCTCGAATCTGCTTCAATGTATCGTCTAATGACTTCTTAGGCGTTCTGCGACCGCATCTTTGACACCGAACTTCCCTGCTCACTCCAGGCAGCTCTAGATAATCTCTTGCAAGGTGTTTTGACCAGAGCTGGGGCAATCTGAGACGCATTTGTTTGCTGGACATATGCCGCGCTTTGCATGCAGGAAACCTCCTGAACGGATACAACAGGACTGGCAGGAGACAACGCGCAAACAGACATGGGCATCCACTAGCGACAGCGCCGAAGGTTTTGCCGTATAGCTGCTGCGCTATCCACAATTTGCCTGCAATGGCGCAATGCTCGTAATGTATGCTTCTCAAAAGAACGGGCTTCGTCCTCGCAGCCGGTATCTTCAAACAGCCAGTACAGCGTAGAACAAAGCTGCTCTGCCTGCTGAACAAGGTATTCCGCTCGTCCCAGACGGTTGTCCCGCTTCGCTTGCAGGTCCGTCACGGACGTCCGCGTTTTGGGAAAGCACGCTTCACAAACGCAAAGCTGGTGGCGGATGCAAGATTGCTTCGTGGCTATGCTCGCGTCCATCTGAATGAGGTCTTCCTGCAGGGTCTTGCATTTGCCCTCGGCGATCCTAAAATTGCAGCGTGCAATATTCAGAAGCATCCTGAAGCCTGAAGGATTGAACATTTTCGTCCTCAACTGATCGGCCCTATAAGAATCCGGAAGCTCCGTGGCCTTCTTGTCTCTAAGTAGAACGGCAACTCCGAGCGCCGGCCTTTCGATGTCAAATCGATCATTTATTTCCCCTTGATAGAGCACGAGGATGTTGGGAAAAACAATATTCCTTGCGGAGACGCGTCGTATGATCTGCCAACGGAAACGTGAGCAAGGCATGAAGCCGACCTTGACGGGTTCACATTTCGGAGGCCAGATCGTGTGATAGCGTTGCCAGCAGTGATGGTTATCGGGAATCAAATCGTCAGGGTTGAAAAATGAATGATACCATGTATTGTTATGATGGCAGATGCCACTCATCTCTGTCAGCGTGGAGCAGTAGCCGTTCGGGTGACGTTTAGGACGGTCGAAGCATTCACGCCACACGAGTTCAATAGTGTTAAGACTGCCGTCGTGATTGACCAACTTGCGGGGCGGCCACGGAATATCTTCCGACTTTAATCGCTTGAAAGTTTGAGCCGTCTGCGTCTCTTTCTTTCCGATGGCACACGCTTTAGTGGCAGGGATCTCCTTCCCATTCAACGTGCACGTCGCTAGCTCTTCGGGAAGTTTGAGATAAGACATTGGAGCCGACTGTGGCAAAGGCTCTATTGTGAAATGCAGGCGAAGAATAGGAATGTTCAGGCTATGTGGAACCCAGTACACAGTATTATAGTGAGTGTGCTGAGTGGATGGTTGAAGACGAGTCTTCAAGAAGCAGAAACGGTTCACATGTGCAAAGCCCAGCGCCGAACCGCTAGCAAGTATACACAGAGCCATGGAACAGACGCCATTGGCCCAACATAGAGCCATACTTCAAAGCAGAGATGGAAGAAGGAACAGACTGTCTACGCATCAAACGATGTGGAAAACATGAAGCTAACAGACCTGCCGCGAACGCGGACTTGACGAGAAAAAGGGGGGCGGAGAGAAAGGAAAAGAGTATCACTGTGCATTGAGATAATATCTCCCACTAAGGACAGATGCGTGCGGCTTTTACTGGGTCTGGTACGCAGTGCCGACAAACCGTTAGATAGCAAGGCTATGGGATGAAGACACAGCGGACCAACGTTTCTCCTGCAGGGTTAAATCTTGGAAAACCCCACGTGATGATGCCGTGGCCACTCTAACTCCGCGGCTGTATCCAATGATCTGGAAAGATATCAAATCATCGCTGACAATAGCAAGTTGATTTTTTCGATCTGTTTTTTTGATTCTTCATTGATGATTCGCATTGATCTCATCACGTGAGAACCAGTCACTTTGCAATCTCTGCTCCGTTACCTAAAAATCGCATTATATGGATATTGTGATGCAACTCTATAATAAGGTGGCCGGATGGTGTAGTTGGTTATCACGTATCCTTAACAGGCTTCAGCCGGCTATACGGATAAGGTCCTGAGTTCAATCCTCAGTCTGGTCATTCTTTTATTGCAATTGCCTCACATCGAACGGCTTGCAATAAAGGCGCCGTCGTGGCTCTTTTCATTTTTTTTATATTTTGCGAGACTCTCCCAATAATCGTTCATACAGTTTTCCCACCCAAGTGTCTTTTTCGTCGCGTACCCATCCCCAAGTGCCAATCTTCTCCTCACCACTACCTCACTCAACCTCCCCTTAGCACGAGTCAGGCTATCTGCTCCTCCTCTATGCTAATCAAAAATTCGACGAACATCCTCCAGCTTACCCGTCTGCTCTACACGAAGTTGCAGGGCCGTCATATTGACGTTCCAATCAGACATGTACTCTGCCAAACACATACACGCACGTCAACACCATCACCAAAACACAGAATCATCTCACTCACACCACAACACATTCACAACGCCGCCACCGTCTCATTCCACTGCAAACTCATCAGACTCTTGCCCGGCGCCCTGATACCGCTCAGATCCGGCTCCACGACCTCCTTCGCGACCGTAACAGCGCCCTTGT